TGGTCACCAAGCGCTAGGGCCTTGGTGAAGACGTCTGCAGTGTTGGCCTCTGAGGCCACAAAGTCCAGGCGTGCCTGGCCGCGTCGCTGCAGCTCTCGCAGGAGGAAGTACCTCACGTCAATGTGCTTCACTCTGCTCTCCAGTCGAGGCTCTCGACAGAGGAGGATCATGGCCGTGTTGTCAGCGTACAAGGTCGGTGCAGAGCGAGGCCGCTCACCAAGGTCGGCGAGCAAGAAGGTCAACCAGCGAAGCTCCTGTGCCGCCATGGCACCAGCATAGATCTCTGCCTCTGCGCTGGAAGTAGCTACAGACGACGACCGTGTAGACCTCCACGACACAGCACCAGCTCCCAGACTGGAGCAGTAACCCTGAGTCGAGCGCTGAGTCTCCACATCGTCAGCGTAGGAAGAGTCGCAGTGACCAGTCAACGCCACTGGCTGAGTCCCTCCAAGCACAAGCCCCATGCCTGATGTAGTCGCCAGGTACTTCGCCACCCTCACAGCAGCTGTCCAATGGACAGGACGGTGTCTCCCAGTCGCAACAAAGCGAGAAAGGATGCTGAGGGGAAAGGCGAGGTCCGGCCGAGTACAAGTCATCAGGTACATGAGGCAGCCCACCAGCTCTGCGTAGGGACCACTGGACTCAAAGGGCTCGTCGGGAAAGGGGCCAGTGAGTCTGTGGTCAACCGCAAGAGGTGTGGGCTACGTGGTGGAGAACTGGAAGTCGATCCGCCGAAGGACCTGCTGCACCATGTGTGACTGAGTCAGTGTGATGGTGCGAGCGGCTCTGTCCCTGGTGATCTGCAAGCCAAGGTAGCGCTGCAGCTCACCTAGGTCAGTGCACTTGTGTCTCTTCTGCAGTTTGGACTTCACCTGAGCCAGATCTGCCCTGTCTGCTGTAGCAAAGACCAAGTCGTCGACGTAGACAAGGATGAAGAAAGGAGTGGAACCAGCCCGAACAAACAGCGACGGGTCGGCGGACGACGGACTAAACCCAAGGTCACGAAGCGTTGAGCGAAGAGTGTCGTGCCACTCACGGGGCGACTGGCGGAGACCGTAGACTAGCCGCCTCAGGCTCCACTGGGTCCCAGGTGGGAAGGTGTCAGTGAAGCCAGGAGGGCGGCGCAGCCAGATCTCCTCGTGTAGTCGGCCCTGGAGAAACGCAGTGGAGAAGTCAAGGGAGTGCAGCTCGTAGTCTCGCTGTGCTGCTACGTGCAGTAACACCCGAAAAGTAGTCATCTTCGGGGTCAGGGCGAAGGTCTGGAAGAAGTCAATTCCCTCACGCTGACTGAAACCCCTAGCCACGTAGCGCGCCTTGAACACAGGCAATGAACCAGGCGGCCGTTTCACCTTGAAGAGCCACATGCCATCGACTACGTTCGCCCTGGGAGGGGGGAACTGCGTCGACATAGGTGCCTGTGGATCTCCAAGAGGCTAACTCCGAGGCCATAGCCGCTTTCCACTGTGAGGCCCACGCCCCTGACACTGCCTCGCGGTAAGTGCGAGGAGTCGGTATGTCAAGGGCGTCGGGGTCTCCCTAAGGAGATAGCAGCATGGCACAGACAGAGGGAGAAGCGGCTGCCCAATACTCCAGCTCTGACTCTCTGTCCTCTAGGACGTCACAGCCAAGGGCAAACTTCTCGTACGGTTGGTCCTGAGGGTAGTGGAGCTACGTGCAACGGCTGGTCCTGAGGTAGGATCAGCCAGAGCTACCGATACAGGAGTGAGGAGTGGCGTGAGGGTCGTGTGGTCGCGGAAGAAGCACTGAGACGCGGCAGAGTCCAGTGTGAAGGACAGGGATGCCTCAGCCGGAGGGTCACCTGTCCTAGTGGCTACACAAGCACCTAGAGCAGCAACACAAGCACCTAGACTAGAAAGGTACAAGTCTACACTAGCAGGAGGCAAGCAAGCTAATCTACGAACACGCGAGCACACAGATCCATCAGCACTATAGTCAACATCAGCATACAAAGCATGCTGACGAGCATCGTCCATAGACAGATCAAACACATCAATCTTATGGGCTAACAGGCGAGCCCAGCGAGGCGTGGTCGCCGCAGGGCCGCAACGAGCACGGTAGAGGTCGTCGAGGTGGCGGAAGCACCGCGCGGCAGAGTGGTCGTCGCGACCTCAGAGACAGGGGCTGCCCGGTCCGGTGAGGCACCAGTGGGTGCACGGGCCAGTGTCACGGCGAGGGGGGCGAGGGGCCCAGCTGGAAGTACTGCTGCTGCGGCTGGTGCTCCCTGGTCCTCCCGGACCCCACTGCGGTGGGGGACCCCAGTGCTGCTGCGGACCCCACTGCAGCGGGGGCCCCCACTGCTGGAACTGCTGCGGTGCCTACTACTGCTGCGGTCCCTGCTGCTGCTGCTGTCCCTGCTGTGGCTGGTGCTGCTGCTGAGGCTGCTGTTGCTGGGGTCCAACACCCCCACCTGTCGGGCCACCGCTAGTGGGCGGGCCTGTCTGTCCTGCACCTCCTCCAAGGCCCCCTCCTCCGGGTGCACCACCGCCGCCGCCGCCGCCACCGCCGCCTCCACCACCGCCGCCTCCACCACCGCCGCTCCCACCTCCACCGCCACCTCCACCGCCGCCTCCACCGCCTCCACCTCCCCCCTTCCCGCCCTTCTTGCCACTCTTGCCCCGTTTCTGCCAGTCTGCGGCAGAAACGGCAGCAGTGTCGTCAGAAACCGACACAGCAGCAGAAGCGCGGGTAGCAGTGAAAGTGGGGAGCTGAGGGGCGGCACACCCCGCAAAGAGACGGGGGGCCATCGCGTCAGTGGCGGAGGCAACGGTGAGGAGGCTACTCTCGATCGTCCTGAGAGTGGTCTCAAGGAGATCGATAGTAAGCTCAGTGGGGTGCTTCTGGAGAAGCGTGTCGCGAGCAGTGGCAAGGCGGTCAGGGAGGCGGGTGACTAACCAGTGCACAGTGAGCCACATGGTGGGGGGAGCAGCAAGAAGCTGGGCGTCGGTACAGGCCGCACGGAAACCGGCGTCAAGTGAGCGGAGGTGAGTTACTAGATCGGACACAGTCGCGAACGAGCCTAGGTCGGGAAACACGAACGTCATGAGGAGGCGACTGAGGGAGGCAGAGGAAGTGGTGGAATAGCGTGCAACAATAGCATCCCAAACCCCCTACGCTGTCTCCACCTTGTCAAAGCGGGCGGCCTCAGTCGGGGGGAGGAGCTCCGTCAGCGAAAGAGCGGCGGCAGCGTCGCGCGAGTTCCACACGTCCCTGGCCAGGACCCGACGGTCGTAGTCCGCCTGGGCCACAAGAGTCGGCTCCGAGCCGGTCGGTAGGGGGGCGGGGGACTGGGGCGCCTTGAGGGCACCAGACGCGTGGGCCCACAGGGTGGCGCCGTCCTGACGTTGACTGGTGAGGAAGCGCGTGGTCTGGCGCTGCCAGGTACTGAACTCGATCGGGCGTCCCTCCGCATCGAAACGAAGGCGGCGGTATTCCATAACGGAGGCCATGCTAGAGGCGGCTGGAGCACGGCGGAGGCGAAGCTAAGGACGAGGAGTGAAAGCTAGGAGCGCCAGCTGTGGCGAGGCAAGAGGCCGGCGGAGCTAGTGGCTAGGAATACGGAGCGACCTAGGCTAGGCGTGAAAGGGCGAGGAACGCCAGAGAGGAGCGCTAGAGGCTAGTGGCTAGGAGCGAGGGGCTACACGTGTCTAACCTAGGTGACCGGCGAGAGAAGCGGCTGCTAGCCGCTGAACGAGAGACCAATGGCAGTAGGAACGGCGAGGGCCCAGCGAACAGGGCTGTGGTGGGGAAGGGTCCACCTGCCGAGTGTGGGTGGGAGCGCACGAGACGGTGAGGGAGCGCCGGCACAGGAAGGAGTGGGCGGTTTGGGCACGGGCGGGTCTAGGGCGCAAACTGGGCGCGGTTTTGGAGCTGAACGCGGGCTAGGGCGCTGCCTAGGGTGAGGGTGCGGCCTAGGGCTAGGGCGCTGCGGAGGGCACGGCGCGGCTTAGGGCAGGGCGCGGCTTAGGGCAGGGGGAGGGGAGTGAACGCGACGGGGAGGGGAGGCGACGCGACGGGCAGGGGGAGGCGACGGTACGCGACGGGCAGGGGGAGGGGAGGCGACGCGACGGGCAGGGGGAGGCGACGGGACGCGACGGGCAGGAGGAGGGGAGGGGGACGCGACGGGCAGAGGGAGGGGAGGCGACGCGACGGGCAGGGGGAGGGGAGGCTATGCGACGAAGGGCGTGCGGAGGGCGCGAGGGCGCTAGGGCGAGCGGAGGGCGCGAGGGCGCTAAGGAGAGCGGAGGGCGCGAGGGCGCTAAGGCGCGGAGGGCGCGGAGGGCGCTAGGGCGCGAGCTAGGCTAGGCTAGGCGAGAGGATCGACACCTACTCATGATACCATCTCAAAGTTAGCGAACAACGGAATACATGAATTAGCAAAGTGTTGGATACAAATAGGAAACCCTAGCATCTGTACCCTCTAGAATGCAACTCACTACAGCCTATAACTATTATATTTGACAATCTGTACTCTCTCTAGTATGTCCCTATATAACGTTCCTGTAATATAAACATTTGAAGGTGAACCACACCAAGAACATCTCGGTGTCTTCATTTTTTAGAGATGGAAAATCTTATCACAAGTTGGGTCACAATGGTCAAGCCTTTCCCTTTGTATCTAGTCGTCAGTAGAAAAATCATAAATTACAGCTACTACATTGTTCTACACCTTTATTGGGCAGTGAGGCCATGTAGTGCTCAAAATATTTTCCAAGCAATCTATACTTGGTTATATTTTGAGTAATAGCGTCAAACGAACTTGTGGTGTGGACCGCGCCCTTGTGCATATTTCAACGTTCGAAATTCGATTTTGAAAGGCCGTCTTTCTCATCTCATCCATTCCGTCCGAACCATTCCAACTTCCAAGTCGAGCTCCCCTTCACCACTCCACCAGCTTCCCGCTATCCCGTCTCAATTTCTAGTTTCCGAACTACTCAACCACTGGTCCGCGTGGCCCCGCATATCGAGGCAGCGCCATGTCAATGCTGGGCAAGCGCGGGTTGTGCCGCCACGACCCGCACGCCGCCTTCGCGCACCGCGGCAAGGAGAAGGTCACGCGGCTCGACGAGGTTGCAATCTGGGGTACGCATGTTCGCGCTGACACAGTCGTGCACGGGCCCATGCTCGCGACATGGCGTAATTTAGCAGTCGTCCCAAGGAAGGACCTAAGTCGCAACAGCCCGACTCTTGTTGCCCGTCCGTATCGCTCCTATCCAAGTGCGGCGAACCGCCCGCCGCGTACCCCTGTCCTACCAGTTCCCTCCGCACCCGCTCCTCCCCCGGGCCCTGTCTCCACGCCACGCCACGTCAGCTTTCCCATGCCTCACGCGCCTTCCCCGCTCCCCTTTCCCCCCATTCCCCCCCTCCAGCGCGCACGCTGCAGCGCCTCAAGGACGGCGCCAGGGCAGTCTTCACTTCCTCCGCCTCTCCGCCATCCGCACACGCCCTCCCCGCAACGGCGCCAATCTACCCCCCAGCCGAACATCCCGCGCAGTGTCCCGCGCGACCTGCGCCAGTCGAAGAGTTTGCGCCGCAGTATTTCCCTCCTGCGGCTGCCCCCGCCGCCAGCCCTAGTATGCTCCGCCAGTGGTGGCAGCCCGCGGCAGTGGGGCAGCAGAGGCGCGCGCAGGGGCAGGCGGAGCGGGCCGGCGCAGGAGGTGGACTGGGGAGCGTAGTCAGCAGCGGAGTCCGCGCATGCTGTTGTGGGGACGGGGGGAGTTCAGCCGCGCACAATGGCGGAGCGTGCATGCGGTGCAGGTACGGCGTGCTCCTTGAGTGTGCGTAGTGTCCGTGAGTATGCGTGGTTGGGCGAGCCTGGCGCCTGGTGACGATGACCCAGTTGACCTCCCCACCCTCACCAACCCCAATTCAACCGAGCTCCTTTCCCTTCCCGTTGACACTCTGCCTCCCCCTCCCCGCCTGCCTATCTCACATACCCCCGCTCGCCGCCACACGGACACTCACACACATGCACATCCCCTTCATCGTCACACAACCATAGCGTCAATGCAAGCAGCATCCAAGAAACGACTCTACTCCCTGCCCCAACGCAATCACCCCGCCCATCCTGCAATTCCCTCCCTCTCCCCTGCCAGCCATGCTCTCTGCAGCCGCTGCACCTGTGTCTGCGCTGCCTGCAATCAACCCTTCTGCGACAACTGCTCTGTTACAAAGTAACCACTCCGTTCTCATCCCCTTGTATACCTCCTTGCTCGTCGGCCCCTATTTCTCATAAAACTTTGTCTCACTCGCCATTGGTAAAAATCGGTAAAAAAATCCTGCAAGTATGAGACCAAGTGCGGATACCTATGTGTCACCATGTGCGTGCACCTTCTAAGTTTCATTCCCTGCCAGCGCTCCACTTCTTTTCTGTGCCGATACCCTCACCTTCTCCATGTCCCATGTTCACTTCCTTGCATCCTACCCTTTCCTTCGCCCCCCTTCATCTGCACTTCTCTCCCGATTGTCTTCCCCCTCTTCCCTCCCACCCGCTCACCATATGCAGCTACGACCAGCGTGTGGATCGGTTCTTCTGTATCGATTGCTCTCACCACCACTGCTGATGCTGATGCTCATGCTCATGCTCATGCTCATGCTCATGCTCATGCTCATGCTCATGCTCATGCTGCCCTGCACACCACTAGGAGCAACCGCACCCCGTGCTGCTCTCCCTCCACTGCCTGCCTGCTCCACAGAGCATTTTGTCGACTTCTACTCCGCACGTCCACCAATACTGTCTACATACCAGCAGGAAAAGCAGTGCTCCGATTCTTGTGCACAACTTTGACCTGCCGTGCCCCACACTGTCTGCTCGCAACACCTGCATTTTCCAGAGCTCGCCGTGGCTCAGATAGGGGTTTGCCACGATTAAGAGCGAGCCGCTGGAGCGGTGCCATAATTTGCAGCTGGTTAGAAGAACCAATTTGGAAGGCCGCTGGGAGATGGTACGGTAGTCTTGGGGCACGAGCTGATACGTAGCCACTAGAATTGTGTGTTTTGTATGGTACTCTTGCATATGCATAGTGTGTGTGATTAGAATATGCTAGCCACTAGTAATATGTTGGAAGAGAACACTTGCTACGCAAGATGAGAAAGAAGAACCGAGGGAAGACAGAAGCAGCACTTCTAAGGTTGGTGCTGGCAATTCATAAAGTACGGTAGCTGAATCTTTCAACGATCTCTCAACGATCCTAACGGTTTGAGAGTTCTTCAAAACAGAATCATTTAAGCAAAAACTTCAAGTGGTACCTCCACTCAGCAAAACGTTCCATTCCAGGCGATGCAGCTGTGAAAGCGACGGAAGGGAAACACTGTCACATGATCACTGCAGGGCAACGGCCTTGCGCAGGGACCACTGGCCGTTGGGCGAGTGCAGCACCTCCACCTCGTACAGCTCGTCCGGCAGCGCCCCCACCACCTGCTGCCCCTCCTGGGCCTGGGCCGGTGCCTCGCGCTGCAGGCGCAGCGTCAGGTGGAACATGGTCGTGCCCTGCTCTGATCCCGCTGCTGCTGCCGGCTGCAGGAGGGAAAAGGGAACGGGTAGGGAGGTGGAACGCATACCAGCAGAGGCAAGAGTCAAGGGAGGTGCGCGGGAACGACCTGCCAGACACGGTTACGAGCTTCTTCCTATTCTGTTGGGGCTGCGATGCTACCGTTTGCTGGCAGGGATTGACGAATGAGTGCGACAATCCAGGCAGTTTAGGGTTTACTGCCCTGGATGAACATAGATGAATGCTATACATGGATGCGATCGGCATGGGGTCGCTCCTTCACCCCCTGCATGCCATGAATGAGGAGCACGAGCACCACTGCAGGCGTTCACCACGCCTACCACACATCCATCCACTCCCCTGCAAAATGTTATCACTCCATTCCATGAGCACAACTCAATCAAGCAAGCGAGTCCAGCCCTTCACCCACAAAACCTTCACATCTCCCCTTCCACCCGCACCCCCAAACCCACCCCACCCCCACCCACCCTCACCCCTACTCTCACCCCCATTCCCACCCCACCACAGTCACCCCCACCCCGTGTGTACCGTGGCAAGCGCTGCGACGACCTCCTTGAGGCGGTACGGGTAGAGCGAGTTGGAGCGCTGCTGCAGCGCTGCCACAGCGCGCTCTGCTGCCTCCAGCACCGCGGGTGAGGAATGCGCTGTGGCGGGGCAGGATGGGAGGGGATGAAGCGGGGGAAAGCGGAGGGGGGGGGGGGGGGGGGTGGGTGGGGGGGAAGGAGAGAAAGGGAGTCCAAGGGGGATGATTAGCGGAATATAGTGTGAGAACGAAGGTGGGGATGAGGAAGACTGAAATAGGTGTGATACGGTGTGGAAGAAGATGTTAGGAAGCAAGTCGAAAGAAAGAAAGACTGTCTACAAATAACTGTTGACGCGAAAATCAGTGGGGCAAGCGCGAGGAGGGGAGTGGGAGAGGCCGCAGGGGGTGCGTGCATGGGCAGTGAGGAAATAGGTTGTAGGGAGTATGCACTCATTCACTAGAAAGCTGGTACGGCGTGCACATGGGACACATGCCACGAGGATGTGGGCGAATGAGTGGGTGGTGTGGTTGGGTGCCCCAACAGGACGCCCGTGGGAAGAGCGAGCAAGTATGCAGGGAAAGGGAAACCGCTGCACGTGAGTGTGCACTGCACGCATGAGGCAAGTGCCCTGGTATGACGCCCACCTTCCCCATCTCTGTTGCTGCATGTGCCCTGTGCCTGGCCCGCCGCTGCTGCCACCCCTGCCTCCTCACCACCATCCCTCGCCGCGTTGCCACACCCCCCCTCACCACCACCACCAGCAGCAGCACCACTATCATCACCACCAGCCATCCCAGCAGCAGTCCCAGCAGCCGTTTCAGCAGCCGCCGCCGCACCAGCAGCGTGCAGTTCAGCGGGCGTGGCGGCGCGGTCGGTATCAGGCACGGGGGCGAAGGCCTGCAGAGCCTTGAACTTCTGCCACGCGCGCTCCCACACCGTCGCCTTGTACTGCGCCGTGCGGCGCGAGGAGGGCGACGTGGCGAGCAGCGTGAGGTGGAAGAGGATGCCCGCCACCACCTGCTGCTGCGCGCTCTCCACGCGCACCAGGTGCAGGTCCGCGCCCTGCGCTCTCCAAGGGGGAAGGGGGAACGGGTGAAGGGGGATGAGGGAAGGGGGAGGGGGGGAGGGGAAAAAGGGGGACGGGGAAGGGGGGAAGGGGAGGAAGGGGGAAGAGGGGAAAGGACGGGGAGGGCCGTAAGGTCGAGGAACGAAGGGCAAAGGCGAAAACGGTCAGCAGCAGCGGCTCGGGCGACGGCGCGCGCTCAGGCGCGAGCGCGTGCGCGCGTGTGCCGCGGATCGTCCCGCCGATAGAAAGTGGCGAGACAGGAGCAGAGGGGGCAAGGGGGGAGCGGAAGCGCATGCGGAGGCACCAGTCGAGCACAAGCACGGCGGCACACGCTGCGACCACGTCGGCTCTTAACATCCCTTTCCCTCTCCCTCAGCCCTTTTCGCCTGCCCGTTCCCCTCCCTCAGATTTGCTCTCTGTTTTGGGCATCGTCGAAGCGAAGCGCAGCGCACCTCCTTCTCGTTGTGCTGCTCCACGGCGAACGCCGCCAGTGCCTGCAGGTCCTCCCGGTTCGCGAAGTCGGCGATCTGCTGCACGCCGCCCGGTATGACGTTGGGCTTCGTCGCGAAAACGGCGAGCGGTAACAGCACGCATAGGAGCACAAGGACGCGAACGAAACGAGCAGCTACAGGCGGAGCGGTTGATAGGGAATACATGGTGTGGACGAATACGACAACCACAGGGAAACTATGTGGGAGACTACTAAACTAAGAAATAATAGCACCTCGACTGTCAGTATGTGACCTCATGAAAATCTGCCGGCTAATTTGAAGCGTTGGTGGCTTGCTGAAACAATTATGCATACCAGGAACAGTGTCCTCGCTATTGCGTACGAGCTATATATATATTAGTGGTGCTCTTACATATTGCATATTGAAGTATGTCACACCACCTTCTGGAATTTGCATTTCTTACTAAGACATTTTGACCATGGCCCAGGTCCTGAGAATTCAGGCCTGTCACCACTGATTTCCCTGATTTTCAGGGTGTTTTTGTCTACTAACCCTGAATATCCATTGTTCTATATTATTGACATTGATTTTTCAGTGTTTTGTTTTTGGTGGCACTGGTTTTTTCAGAGTTTTGGGTTATGTGAGCACCAGGGCCCTCGTTATCAGACTATTTTAGTCTGTTGGTCTATGTTTCAGGCGCAAATTTTATAATTCATATGTTATGGCTGACAAATGCTTAAGGCTCATATGAAAGCCCAGACAAATGGTTTAGCGACAAAAAGTTTTAAGTGTTCGTCTGCTGGAGCAAACATCGCGTATGGTTTCGTCTGAAAGCGCCAAACTAGCCCAGTTGGCCGTAGGAGCAGTCGTTTGTCCGTACAGGCACGCGTAATAAATTTTGCGTGAGGGGACAGCGGGTGATACCACGCATCTGTCTTGTAGCAGCCAGGCTGCTGCCTCCCCCTCGCTGGCAGGGTGCAAGGACATTCGGTGCACAACAAACAAGGCATTGTTGGTCTTGATGGTCCCTCCCTTCCTCTCTCATGGCGTCGTCTCTTCCAATCCGCTCTTTCACAACCTTCTGTTAGAATAACGAACAGGAATGAATAACAGCAGAAGGGGGATTGCACTAGCATGCAGAGGGGATACAAATACGAAACCCTAACAGGGCTGTACTCACTACTGAGTACCCCAATGCAGACTAGACAATATAACATTCTGACACACCCCCATATGCAAAGTGGGGTATAATCAGCACAACAAGCAGTCATAGAGCAAGTTCACAAATTAGCCCTAGTGGCAGACATAGCAGAGGGGCAGTGAGGAGGAGGAGGAGGGACTACGAGAGGAGAGGAGTTGGGAGGCGGCAGGTGAAGCTGCTGACACACGGGCAACGGAGCAACTGGCACACTGGCTACCGGAGCAAGGACCCCGGACTACTGGAGCAACTGGCTCCGCGGCTAGACGAGCGGCTGGAGCAACGGACCCACGGGCGACTGGAGCAACGGGCTCACGTGCTACCGGAGCAAGGACCCCGGACTACTGGAGCAGCAGGCGACACAGCGGCTACCTCCTTCCAACCTCCCCCCATTGCCCCCAAACCCTTTTCTCACACCCCCCCCGGCTAGCGCCACTCCCCAACCTCACCCACTCCATCCCCCCCTCAGCGGCAGCTGCAGCAGTGGGAGAGAGAGGAGGAGAAGGGGCAGCTGGTCACGCACTCCCACCACCCCCATACCCCCAATTACCCCCGCCCCCCCCATACACTCCACACGGCTGCACGCGCAGCAGGAAGTCGAAGGAGGAGGGGGGGAGGGCGGGCGGCGTCGCGACGTGCAGGGCGCGGGCGGGCTGCCGGATCCAGGAGGGGCGGCGCGCGGGTCCCCAGGGGCGGCGCGCGGGTCCAGCGGGGCAGCGCGCGGGTCCAGCAGGGGCTGCGCGCGGGTCCCGCAGGGCATCGCGCGGGTCCAGCGGGGCAGCGCGCGGGTCCCGCAGGGCGTCGCGCGGGTCCAGCGGGGGCGACGCGCGGGTCTCACGGGGCGGGGACGGCGCGACAGTCCCCGGGGGCGCCGCGACGGACGACGGGGGCGGCGCGCTGGTCCCCGGGGGTGCCGCGACGAACGACGGGGGCGGTGCGCTGGTCACCGGGGGCGCCGCGACAGGCGACGGGGTGTCAAAGTATATGCTTGTTATACATGTGAAGGCTGTAGTGGGGTAGCCAATATGGGGTACATCCCCTTTTAGGGTTTCATACTTGTACCCAACTCTTTGATAGTTCATTCATTCCTGCTGCTAGATTCTGACATGGTTTAAGAGCACTAGGTCCGTAGGACCGTTTTTTTTCGGGCCAACCTACCGTTGCGGTTACCGTGTTACCCCACGTGTTGGCCTGCCTGCCTGCCTTGCCTTGTGAAGTGCTGCGCTGCGCGTGCCGTCCTGCAGCCCTCGTGCTGCCTACTGCTGCCCTAGGCCAGAGCGCCGCCCCTGCAGGCCCGTAAGGCCCACGCGCCGCACCTGCAGACACGTCACGCCTGCGAGCCGCCCCTGCAGGCCCGTCAGGCCAGGGCGCCGCCCCGCCAGGTCGCTGCCCCACGCGTCACGCACACAGCCTGCGCGTCGCGCTGCAACCCCGCGCGTCGCGCCCACAGCCCGCGCGTCGAGCTGCAGCCCCGCGCGTCGCGTCCACTGCCCGCGCGTCGCGCTGCAGCCCCGCGCGTCGCGCTGCAGCCCCGCGCGTCGCGTTCGCTGCCTGCGCGTCGCGCTGCAGCCCCGCGCGCCGCGACTGCCGTCCTCGCGCAGCCCGCGGCGGCTTCGCGCGCCGCGCCCGCGGCTCGCGTCGCGCGCTGCAGCCTCGCGCGCCGCGGCTGCCCCTGGACGCCGCTGTCACTCCTGCAGCAGCTGCCGCGGAGCGCCCTGCCACAGTAGCGGCCCCGCCCTACAGTAGCAGCCGCGGAGCCTCCTGCCGCCGTCGAGGCCCTGCCCTGCAGCAGTTGCCGCGGAGCCTTCTGCCGCCATCACGTCCCCGCCCTGCAGCAGCTGTCGCGGACCTGCCCTACCTCCAACGCGGTCCTGCTCTGCCGCAGCTGTCGCGGCCCCGCCGTCGTGCGCCTGCCCTTCTCGCCACTGGTGAGCACCTACCTGCCTGCCTGCCTGCCTGCCACGCCTGCTTGCCTGCCTGCCTGCCGCGCCTGCCCTGCCCGCGCTCCTACTACTGCTAGACTGCTGCTGCTGCTGCTGCTACTACTGCTACTGGCGGTGGCTAGATGCAGCTCCAGCGACGTCCGCGCGAGTCTCTCACGCCTCAGCAGCTTCGTGAGTGGTACGCTAGTTGGGGTTGTGGCGGTAGCCGTCGTGGCTTTCGCCCTGGGGCTGGTCGGTCGGGAGAGTCTGGCAGTGGCCAGCTGCAGCTGCAGCGGCGTCCGCGCGAGACACTTACGTCCCGGCAGCTTCACGAGTGGTACGCTCAGAGTCGAGGGTCTCGGAGTACTGTTCGCTGCCCGTACGTCCTTCGCACAGGTGACCGGGCTGGTCAGGCTTGCGGGACACTTGGTCACACCCAGTCCCGCTGCTTCGCCCGTCTGAGCGACGCCTGGCGTACCGAGTTTGGCGACGAGGCTGAGCTCCCCACCTGGCTGGAGCTGCTTGGGCAGAGGGTAGATATCTTTGCTCTTGACTATGATGCTATTCTCACTGCCATGTATGCATTGCCTACTAGTGCTGACCGTGCCTGTTCCCTGTGCGTACCGCCTGACCCAGGTATAGAGCCTGCTGCCCTAGGTGCTGGTGAGGCTGCTGCTCTAGGTGCTAGTGCGTCTCCTGCGCTAGGTGCTGGTGAGGCTGCTGCTCCAGGTCCTGGTGAGTATGCTCTCTCTGGTACTGCGCCTGCTGAGGCGTTGTATACCTTCACACTTGACTCAGGTGCTTCCCGCTCCTTCTTTCGCGACAGCACCACCCTCACGCCGCTTCGTCGGCCGGTTGCAGTCTCCCTGGCAGACCCCTCTGGGGGTCCAGTCCTTGCGCACTCCTCCACGGTCCTGCCGTGTCCAGCGGTCCCGTCTGGCTCCCTGTCAGGTCTTCACCTCCCCTCGTTCTCTACGAACTTGGTGAGTGGAGCTGACCTACAGGATGTGTGGGTTGACCAGTTCACCCTTGGAGGTCAGCGTGTGACCCACTGTACGTGCTCCCGGACTGGTCGGCACCTGGCCACGTTCACCCGAGAGCCTGGCTCGAGTCTGTACACAATGACCACTGTGTCCCCTCAGGTAGCTGCGTCTGCGTTTGCGTCAGGTCAGCTAGCGGCCCCCTGCTCGTGCCGCGCTTTGTCGCACCAGACCCTCCTTTGGCACCACCGCCTTGGTCACCCCTCGGTGCAGCGCCTTCGTAGCATGCACCGCAGTTTCCTTGTCTCTGGACTTCCAGAGACTCTGCCTCCTCTACCACCCTCGCCTGCTCCTCCCTGTCTTCCCTGTGTCGAGGGGCGGCAGCGCGCCTCTCCTCACTCCTCCTCGTTCCCTCCCACAGAGGCTCCCCTGCAGACTCTCCACCTGGACATGTGGGGCCCAGCCCGCGTCCGTGGACAGGGCCACGAGCGGTACTTCCTGCTGGTCGTCGACGACTACACGCGTTACACCACGGTCTTCCCCTTGCGCAGCAAGGGGGAGGTCCCTGATGTTTTGATCCCCTGGATCCGCGCTGTTCGTCTCCAGCTCCGCGAGCGGTTCCAGTCGGACTTTCCTGTTCTGCGTCTGCACTCTGGCAGTGGTGGTGAGTTCTCCTCAGACCTCTTGGCAGCCTACTGTGCGGAGCACGGCATCCGCCAGACGTTCACGCTTCCGGCCTCTCCGCAGCAGAATGGGGTTGCTGAGCACCGCATTGGCTTAGTCATGGAGGTCGCTCGTACCTCCATGATCCATGCGGCTGCCCCCCATTTTCTGTGGCCGTTTGCGGTCCGCTACGCCGCGCATCAGCTCAACCTCTGGCCCCGTGTCTCCTTGCCGGAGACCTCGCCCACACTGCTGTGGACGGGGAAGGTTGGCGATGCGTCGCGTTTCCGGGTCTGGGGTGCTCGTGCCTTTGTCCGCGATACCACCGCGGACAAGCTCTCCGCCCGCGCTGTTCCCTGTGTCTTCCTTGGCTTTGTCCCTGACGCGCCTGGTTGGCAGTTTTACCACCCCACCTCGCGCCGTGTCTTCCCCTCTCAGGAC